AATAAACCAGTTTTATTAAGTAAAGACTTGTGTCGTTAAAGTTTCGTTGAAACGAAGTTACGGAAAATTAATTAACACACGGAGACGTAACAACGTGCTGTAATAATGTTAGTACAGTCTGCCACAACACCCCAACTCCATGTGTAACATATATTCATTCTCCAACTCTATGTGTAACATTTATTCATTCTCCAACTCTATGTGTAACATTTATTCATTCTCCAACTCCGTGTGTAACATATATTCATTATCCAACTCTATGTGTAACATTTATTCATTCTCCAACTCTGTACGTAACATTTATTCATTCTCCAACTCTGTGTGTAACATTTATTCATTCACCAACTCTGTATGTAACATTTATTCATTCTCCAACTCGTGTGTAACATTTATTCATTCTCCAACTCCGTGTGTAACATATATTCATTATCCAACTCTATGTGTAACATTTATTCATTCTCCAACTCTATGTGTAACATTTATTCATTCTCCAACTCTGTGTGTAACATTTATTCATTCACTAACTCTGTGTGTAACATTTATTCATTCTCCAACTCCATGTGTAACATTTATTCATTCTCCAACTCCATGTGTAACATATATTCATTCTCCAACTCTATGTGTAACATATATTCATTCTCCAACTCTATGTGTAACATATATTCATTCTCCAACTCTATGCGTAACATATCTACAGTAATTAGCTGGTAGCTCAGTCGAAAGTAAAACTGAAGTTGTTGTATTTTAGATGTAATGAATTTTTTCTTCCCTCACAAACAGTATTAGAAACAAAAACGAGGATATTGTTTGTTTGTTGTTAAGCGCAAGGCTACACAATGGGTTGTCTATGTTATTCCCACCAGGGGTATCGCAACCCGGTTTTAGCGTTATGTCTTCAGACTTACCGCTGAGCCACTGGGGGTAGGGAGGGGGGATGATTTTATAAGAACTGAACTAAGATAAAAATTCAAAACCTATAACACTAGAGCTATCGAAAGGTGGACCTTTCTTCACCAGTTTGCCCTAGGGTTTGCTAGGGTTTTGTATTTTTGTCTTACATTTATATATTTTTAACTTACATGTTTTCCTAACATCATGAAACACAACCTCGATAATTACTTTCGAAAAACTACTAAATCTATTTTGTTCATCTCTTTGAATCATAAAACACTTGTGATTTGAATAAAATGCGTGTTGATGCGTAGGATATCGCGCGAAAAAATGGACAATGTCTAGAAATGAGAGTATCATTACTGGTTAGGCTTAAGAATGACGGAAAGCGTATTAAACACCTTTTGTAATAGCCTGATGATTATTTTCAAACAAATGGATTTGATAGATAATTCCGTCTTTGGATTGATTAACAAGAAAACATTTCCCCATTGAGCAAGGTGGTTCTTACGTCATTCTTCTTCTATATGATGATTGGTTAATTTTCATCTTACTAAGTTGAAATGTTCGATGTTAATGTGAATCACCGGTAAACCTATTACGCGACGAAAACATTAAGATCTTAAGAACAGAGAGACAAACAACATACAAATACTTGTGTAAGAACTGATTGATAAAGACTTCAAAAACATATTTTAAAACTCCCGCTGGAAGAAAATCTGAAACGTTAATATTCATAGCCCATTTAATAAGACTACTTTTGTAATCCATGTTTCGACTACTTTTAACGTTCAGCCAACTCTCCTGCGATGATCCAAAATAACTGTAATAGATTTGTGGTATAGAGCATTTCGAAACGTTGAATTAGTCCTAGCACAATATCAAAATAATGTCAACTACATTGTATCTTTCATACAAAAAAAAAAATCAATACAAGCTTCCCAGTGGCTCAGCAGCACGTCTGAAGGCTTATAACGCTAAAAAACGAGTTTCGATACCTCGTGGTGAGCACGGCACACTGTGTAGCTTGCGCTTACCAACAATTAAAGGCAAACAAACACATCAATAAACTATTATTTGTTCAAAATTAGATCATATTCGTAGGAGGAGGAGGTGGTTTAGACGGAATACAATTAAAGGTATTGAGTATAATGAAGATGCAATCATTTCCAAGCTGTTTGTTTTTACATACGTGACTCGTATTAAATATCTTAGGGTGAGTGGGGGGGGGGTGTCCAAATTTAATATATTTTGTTTCCAAATCTATTTTCAGAAGGTTCGTGATAAAACTCGACCGACGCGACGCCCTCACAGTGCAACAGCTGGAGGGATTAGGCAGGGTTCGACATAACTTATTCCCCC